GGAGTTACTGCCTCGTATGCTCGCCGACGTACTCACAACTCGCCGGAGAAGAACCTCGCTACTACTCACTACCGACGGTTACTACTTAGCCGCCAAGTCTCGCCATCTCGCCTCACAGGAGTCACAGCAGCGCTGGTCTAAACAAGATTATAAGAATAAGACAGAAAAGCCCTTCTAATTCACGGTCAACAAACGGCTTCATTGACGGAGGATCAAAACTGTCCAATGACCAATAACAGTGTCTACTAAGTGACAATTTTTATTATGGAGGATGAGAAGTGTCAATGCCTCAATAAGTCTAGGACAAAAAATGTCATTAACTCCGGAATACAATACAAGAATATTTAATTATGGTTATATTATTATTGTGCCTCACGACCATTACATACTAACAGTACTTGAAAATAAATTAATAATAATAATAATAATATAATAATAATATAAGTGGTAATAATAATATCTAAAAGTAATTAAGTGTTAATAATAATAGTAAGAATATTAACGTAAGAGTTGAAACATAGAATAAATTGTAATAATTAATAACTATAGTCTATGATTAAATTTGGAATTGTCAGGAAAGATAAACGACCTCGGGTGAAATTAACTCTTAAATAATTATATATCGATTTAAATATTCTTCATATATTACAACAATTCCATTCCGTGCATCGCTCGGGTGAAAATACTAGTTGTGGATAAAAATTCTATTCTAAAATTTTTAAATAGTGTAATACAATTCCCTTTGTACATCTATACTATATATAATAACAAAATCCTAGAATTTTAACTTCCCGCCTAATTCCTAAAAAATCTCTCTAACCAATAAAATATATTGATTTCTACTTTCCCATCCGTACAATAATTCTAGGTAAAAATTCTATTCTAAAATTTTAAAATAGTGTAACACAATTCCCTTTGTACATCTATACTATATATAATAACAAAATCCTGAAATTTTAACTTCCCGCCCAATTCCTAAAAAATCTCTCTTCCCAATGATATATATTGATTTCAACATTTCCCATTCGTACAATAAATATGGGTAAAAATTCTATTCTATAATTATAAAATAGTGTAATATAATTACCTTTGTACATCTATCTATACTTTATATAATAAAAAACTTCCGGGAATTTTAACTTCCTGCGCTATTCCTAAAAAATCTCTCTTCCCAATAAAATATGCGGATTTCTACTTTCCCATTCGTACAATAATTCTGGGTAAAAATTCTATTCTAAAATTTTAAAATAGTGTAATACAATTCCCTTTGTACATCTATACTATATATAATAACAAAATCCTAGAATTTTAACTTCCCGCCCAAATTCTAAAAAATCTCTCTTTCCAATAAAATATATTGATTTCTACGTTCCCATTCGTACAATAATTCTGGGTAAAAATTCTATTCTAAAATTTTAAAATAGTGTAATACAATTCCCTTTGTACATCTATCTATACAATATATAATAACAAAATTCAAGAATTTTAACTTTCCGCCTAATTCCTAAAAAATCTTTCTTCCCAATAAAATATATTGATTTCTACTTTCCCATCCGTACAATAATTCTAGGTAAAAATTCTATTCTAAAATTATAAAATTGCGTAATACAATTACCTTTGTACATCTATCTATACTTTATATAATAACAAAATCCTGGAATTTTAACTTCCCGCCATATTCCTAAAAAATCTCTCTTCCCAATAAAATATGTTGATTTCTACTTTCCCATTCGTACAATAATTCGGCTTAAAAATTCTATTCTAAACTTTTAAAATAGTGTAATACAATTCCCATTGTACATCTATACTATATATAATAACAAAATCCTGAAATTTTAACTTCCCGCCCAATTCCTAAAAAATCTCTCTTCCCAATAAAATATATTGATTTCTACTTTTTCCCATTCGTACAATAATTCTTGGTAAAAATTCTATTCTAAAATTTTAAAATAGTGTAATACAATTCCCTTTGTACATCTATACTATATATAATAACAAAATCCTAGAATTTTAACTTCCCGCCCAATTTCTAAAAAATCTCTCTTTCCAATAAAATATATTGATTTCTACTTTCCCATTCGTACAATAATTTTGGGTAAAAATTCTATTCTAAAATTTTAAAATAGTGTAATACAATTCCCTTTGTACATCTATCTATACAATATATAATAACAAAATTCAAGAATTTTAACTTTCCGCCTAATTCCTAAAAAATCTCTCTTCCCAATAAAATATATTGATTTCTACTTTCCCATCCGTACAATAATTCTAGGTAAAAATTCTATTCTAAAATTATAAAATAGTGTAATACAATTAACTTTGTAAATCTATCTATACTTTATATAATAACAAAATCCTGGAATTTTAACTTCCCGCCCTATTCCTAAAAAATCTCTCTTCCCAATAAAATATGCTGATTTCTACTTTCCCATTCGTACAATAATTCTGGGTAAAAATTCTATTTTAAAATTTTAAAATAGTGTAATACAATTCCCTTTGTACATCTATACTATATATAATAACAAAATCCTAGAATTTTAACTTCCCGCCCAATTTCTAAAAAATCTCTCTTTCCAATAAAATATATTGATTTCTACTTTCCCATTCGTACAATAATTCTGGGAAAAAATTCTATTCTAAAATTTTAAAATAGTGTAATACAATTCCCTTTGTACATCTATACTATATATAATAACAAAATCCTAGAATTTTAACTTCCCGCCCAATTTCTAAAAAATCTCTCTTTCCAATAAAATATATTGATTTCTACTTTCCCATTCGTACAATAATTTTGGGTAAAAATTCTATTCTAAAATTTTAAAATAGTGTAATACAATTCCCTTTGTACATCTATCTATACAATATATAATAACAAAATTCAAGAATTTTAACTTTCCGCCTAATTCCTAAAAAATCTCTCTTCCCAATAAAATATATTGATTTCTACTTTCCCATCCGTACAATATTTCTTGGTAAAAATTCTATTCTAAAATTATAAAATAGTGTAATACAATTAACTTTGTACATCTATCTATACTTTATATAATAACAAAATCCTGGAATTTTAACTTCCCGCCCTATTCCTAAAAAATCTCTCTTCTCAATAAAATATGCTGATTTCTACTTTCTCATTCCTACAATAATTCGGGTTAAAAATTCTATTCTAAACTTTTAAAATAGTGTAATACAATTCCCATTGTACATCTATACTATATATAATAACAAAATCCTGAAATTTTAACTTTCCGCCCAATTCCTAAAAAATCTCTCTTCCCAATAAAATATATTGATTTCTACTTTTTCCCATTCGTACAATAATTCCGGGTAAAAATTCTATTCTAAAATTTTAAAATAGTGTAATACAATTCCCTTTGTACATCTATACTATATATAATAACAAAATCATAGAATTTTAACTTCCCGCCCAATTTCTAAAAAAATCTCTCTTTCCAATAAAATATATTGATTTCTACTTTCCCATTCGTACAATAATTCTGGGTAAAAATTCTATTCTAAAATTTTAAAGTAGTGTAATACAATTCCCTTTGTACGTCTATCTATACAATATATAATAACAAAATTCTAGAATTTTAACTTTCTGCCTAATTCCTAAAAAATCTCTCTTCCCAATAAAATATATTGATTTCTACTTTCTCATCCGTACAATAATTCTAGGTAAAAATTCTATTCTAAAATTATAAAATAGTGTAATACAATTACCTTTGTACATCTATCTATACTTTATATAAGAAAAAACTTCCTGGAATTTTAACTTCCTGCCATATTCCTAAAAAATCTCTCTTCCCAATAAAATATGTTGATTTCTACTTTCCCATTCGTACAATAATTCTGGGTAAAAATTCTATTCTAAAATTTTAAAATAGTGTAATACAATTCCCATTGTACATCTATACTATATATAATAACAAAATCCTGGAATTTTAACTTTCCGCCCAATTCCTAAAAAATCTCTCTTCCCAATAAACTATATTGATTTCTACTTTTTGCCATTCGTACAATAATTCTGGGTAAAAATTCTATTCTAAAATTTTAAAATAGTGTAATACAGTTCCCTTTGTACATCTATACTTATCTATACTATATATAATAACAAAATCCTGGAATTTTAACTTCCCGCCCAATTCCTAAAAAATCTCTCTTTCCAATAAAATATATTGATTTCAACTTTCCCATTCGTACAATAATCTATACTATATATGAAATAAAATCCTGAAATTTTAACTTCCCGCCCAATTCCTAAAAAATCTTTCTTTCAAATAGAACATATAAATTTCTACTTTCCAATTCGTACAATAATTCTGGGTTAAAATTCTATTCTAATATTATAAAATAGTGTAACACAATCTATACTATATATAAAAACAAAATCTTGAAATTTTAACTTCCCGCCCAATTCCTAAAAAATATCTCTTCCTAATAAAATATATTGATTTCTACTTTTGCATTCGTACAATAATTCTGGGTTAAAATTCTTTTCTAATATTATAAAATAGTGTAATACAATCTATACTATATATAAAAACAAAATTCTGAAATTTTAACTTCCCGCCCAATTCCTAAAAAATCTCTTTTCCTAACAAAATATATTGATTTCTTCTTTCCCATTCGTACAATAATTATGGGTTAAAATGATGAGATTATGGATAACCAATTCAATTAACCGTAGACATGAGATTACAGTCCTATATACAAAACTCCTATTCTGTAGGCTAATAACAATAAGACTAAGTCTCTACCATACATATAGACTATATGATATAATAAAATAAATACAATTATTTATATTACTGACACACCCCCTCAAGCACAAGGTTGGAGGGTGACAACATTGAGCTTGTCCCGGAGAAGTCGAAAGCGCGGTCCAGGTAAGGGTTTGGTGAAGATGTCAGCCAGCTGCTCCTTTGTGGAAACAAAACTGACGATAAAATCCCTAGATGCGACCTTGTCCCGAACAAAGTGATAATCGATCTCAACATGCTTCATCCGAGCGTGGAAAACTGGATTGGCAGCCAGGTATGTGGCCCCAAGATTGTCGCACCACAGTGTTGCCGGCTTGCCTGAGTGGAGCCAAGTTCACGGAGCAAAGAGACAACCCAAGTGACTTCTGCTGCAACGTCTGCCAGGCCCTTGTATTCAGCTTCAGTTGATGAGCGCGCCACTGTGCGCTGTTTGCGGGACACCCAGGAAACCAGGTTATCCCCGAGAAAGACCGCATACCCACTGGTGGACTTCCGATCAATTGGCCAGCCAGCCCAGTCGGAGTCGGAATAAGCGTGTAAATCAGACGTTGTAGACGGACGAAGGCGTAGACCGTAGTCCTGTGTTCCTTTAATATACCGGAGAACTCTCTTGAGAAGACACCAATGATTATCTGTGGGAGAATGCATGAACTGACACAACATGTTTACTGAATAAACCAGATCGGGACGAGTAATGGTGAGATACTGTAAGGCCCCCACTATACGGCGGTACTGTGTGGGATTTTCAAAAGGATCGGAAGTAGGAACAGCCGGTTGTGTTACCGAAGCCGGTGTTGCCAAGGCTTTGCAATCTGTCATGCCCGAGCGAGATAGGATATCCTGCATATACCGGCGCTGAGAGAGAAGAAAGCTATCTCCAACTGTGAGGGTCTCGATCCCTAAGAAGAAGCTTGGTGGCCCCAAGTCCCGAATCTTAAAAGTCGTGGCTAAGCGGTGTAGTAAGACGGTAACCAAAATCGTATCATTCCCCATCATTATAATGTCGTCGACGTAGACTAGCAAATAGACGCGTGAATCTCCCGAAGTGTAATGGAATAGTGAGACGTCTGTTTTGGATGCCAAGAACCCTGTGGCTATCAAGAAATCATGAAGTCTTTTAAACTACGCACACGGTGCTTGCTTTAGTCCGTATAAAGACCGTTGAAGATGATAGACATGATTCGGTCTAGCTGGATCTTCATATCCTGGTGGTTGCTTCATATATACGGTTTCAGCAAGATGCCCATTTAAGAATGCGTTGTGAACATCCAGCTGCCGTAGAGTCCACCTGTTAGAAACAGCAAGAGAAAATAGAATGCGAACCGTGGTTGGCTTGATCACCGGACTGAAAGTGTCAAAGAAATCTTCCCCCGCAACCTGGTTGAACCCTTTGGCTACTAGTCGCGCCTTATAGCGCTCCACTGTCTTTGCGTTTGGTGCGAAAGACCCATTGGCAGCCAATGATGTTCATTTGTGGTGTAGCCGGAGTGAGTTCCCAGGAGTTGTTATGCAAAAGGGCATTGAATTCCTGATCCATAGCATCCCGCCACTGAGGATGCCCTACGGCCTGAGAGTAGCAGGTTGGATCAGTAGTCGCGGTAAGAGCTACAAACTCTTCATCCCGACCTTGTGTCTTTTGCCGAGTCCGCATAGTATGCGGGACATGAGGCTTGCCCCGTCCCCGGCCCCTACGGGCCGTAGCAGGTGGTCCCGTGGTGACACGAGTTTCTGGTGGTGCTGTTATGGTTGGTGGCTCCGGTTCTAGTGCCATAGATAGCTCCATGGCTAGGGGTGTTGACTGAGTAGCAACAACAACTGGCCCAGCTCCCCAGGGTGTTGAAGTGGTACTCACTGAAGTGTGAACAGGTGCCTGTAGAGCAAATGGGAAAACGGACTCATCAAACCGAACATGGCGGCAGATAAAGATCTTTCCCGATATAGGATCCATACAGCGATATCCCCTAAAAGAGACAGGGTAACCTAGGAAGACACAGGGTGTTGACCGATACTCTATCTTGTGCCGATTGTAAGGCCGAAGATATGGGTAACAGCAACACCCGAAAACACGAAAGAAAGTGTACGGAGGTTGTGTTTTATAGACACGATAATGCGGACTTTAGTAGTTTATAGCAGAAGATGGTAGACAGTTGATTAAAAAGGTGGCTGTTTCGAAGGCATAATCCCAATATATTTGTGGGGTTGAGCTTTCAGCTAGAAGTGCCAAGCCGGTTTCTACTATGTGTCTGTTCCGGCGTTCGACACGACCATTTTGTTCGTGGGTATAGGAACACGATTGTCTGTGTGTAATGCCTAAATTTTCAAAGACTTTATGAAGGCGTCGGTACTCACCCCCTAAATCAGACTGTATGGCTTTGATAGAACGCGAAAAACGTCGTTCTACCATCACCCGGAAAACATCAAAAATTTTATATATATCTGATTTTAACCGTAATGGGTAAAACCAGCAATAACGCGAGTGGTCATCTACAAACAAGACAAAATAACGATAGCCAGTAGCACTAATTACAGGAGATGGACCACAGATGTCCGTATATAACAAGTCTAGAATATTATTGCTAGTGCTAGAAACCCTATCTAAGGGAAAGCGAGCTGATTTCCCGAGTTGACACGCGGTACACAACTTTGACGAACTGGCTTTATTTGTAGTGACGGGACAGTGTTTTAAGGCGCGTTGTAGAGCTTGATTGTGGGGGTGACCTAGACGTTGATGCCACACATCGGAGGATGCTCGAGCGGTAAGAAAGGCACACGGAGATGGTGGGACCAATAACTTGTATAGGCCGTCGGAGGTGAAACCTTTAAGAAGAACCGCCCGAGTGTTGCAATCCTTCACAAGAAACAAGTTTTTGTGAAATTCAAAATAAACGTCGTTATCGTTAGTAAATCGATAAACTGACAATAACGTAATGTTAAATTTGGAACATGCAGAATTTGTGACATAGACAAACTTTTAGACTGAGATGGGATTACGGTATGGCCTACACGGGAAACACCCAAACCTGTACCATTTCCAATTTTTAGAACGTCACCACCAGTATATGCTTCCGAGTGTCCCATCATCTGTTCGTCTGGAGTCGCGTGGGATGTTGCCCCGGTATCCGGGTACCACACGTCGGGAGATACATGACCCGAATTCTCGCCGGAGACCGCTACGTTGGCGTGACCGGCCGGGCGGTCATTGTACCGTTTGTTGCAGTACAAAGCCGTGTGTCCATATGCTCTGCAGATCTGATAGCGTGGACCGCCACCTCGGCCTTGCCGGCCTTGATTGCCCCGGCCGCGATTCTGCCGGCTACCACGTCCGCCGGAGTGACGCCTATGCGTCTGATCATTGCCATGCCGCCCTCGGCCAGCGTAGAACACCGCGGGAGAGCCACTGCCAGCCGTGTGATCTGCAACAGAAAAATCATCCTCATGGATGAATTCTTGCGCCTGGAGGAAGTCAGAGAGCTGTGCCAACGAAACAGTAGCTCCAGTCGCGGTGAGAGAATTTGCCATCATACGGAACTCCGGTCTGAGCCCCCGGAGAACGTACAAGATCTGCTTGTCCGGCGAGAGAGGCCTGCCGGCGAGGGATAGCGCCTCAGCGATCATTTGGCGCTTCCCCAAGTATTCGGCCGAAGAACCAGGGCCTTGGCGGAGGGTCTGAAATTGCCCAAGCAGGCTCAAGCATCGCGCACGGGTGGATGAGGCGCAAGTCGACGCGATCGCATCCCAGACTTCCCGAGAGGTGCATAACCTCGTCGGATAAGGATGAGACAATGGTGGAGAGGATCGCCTGATCCTGCTGGATCCAGGCCTCATACGCCGGATTCACCGTAGTAGTGGTGGTGGTGGAGTCGCCGGCGGTGGAGGATACAACAACGGTCTCCGGTGGACACGGGATTCGGCCGTCGATGTATCCTAACAAGCCTTGGCCGCGGAGGAACGACACCAATTGAGTGCGCCAAAAGAGATAGTTCCTCATCGTCAGCCGTGTGGAGACAAAGTGGTGAGATGCCGTAAGGGAGTTAACGGCCACCGGAGTAACGCCGGAGGTGGTGGCTACGGTCCGTTCACTGGAGGATGAAGCCATGCAGTCGTTACGGGAAAAGTGTATGGTGAACGAGGAAAAAAAGCGAGAGGATCGAACCTTCGGCTCTTGATACCAGATGAGATTATGGATAACCAATTCAATTAACCGTAGACAAGAGATTACAATCCTATATACAAAACTCCTATTCTGTAGGCTAATAACAATAAGACTAAGTCTCTACCACAGATATAGACTATATGATATAACAAAATAAATACAATTATTTATATTACTGACAAAAATTCTATTCTAATATTATAAAATAGTGTAATACAAACTATACTATATATAAAAACAAAATCCTGAAATTTTAACTTCTCGCCCAATGCCTAAAAAATCTCTCTTCCTAACAAAATATATAGATTTCTACTTTCCCATTCGTACAATAATTCCTCGTTAAAATTCTATTATAATATTATAAAATAGTGTAATACAAATCCTCGTGTAATCTATATATATATATATATATATATATATATATATATATATATATATATATATATATATATATATATATATATATATATGTATATATATATATATATAAAATCCTGAAATTTTCACTTCCCGCCCAATTCATAAAAAATCTCTATTCCTAATAAAATATATTGATTTATACAAAAATTCTGGGTTAAAATTCAATTCTAATATAATAAAATTGTGTAATACTATTCATATTCTAATCTATATCTATACTATACATCAGTGTTGCAAAAGTCGCGCCGCTGGCCGCGGCGAGGAAGGCCGGAATCGGCGTTTTTTTTTTTAGATTGTAAAGTGTCAGAATGTCGGCAAGGCATAACTTAAGTTCGGCAAGACATAACTTTTGACTCGGTTGACCGTTTTGGACAAATGTTTTTTTGAAATCACGTATATTTTCGAGATCTATCCACTGCAAATTGCCGTGGGCGGTTTATGATATTCTTAATATATTACAACAATTCCATTCCGTACATCGCACGGGTGAAAATACAAGTTCTGGGTAAAAATTCTATTCTAAAATTTTAAAATAGTGTAATACAATTCCGTTTGTAAATCTATATCTATATCTATATTATATATAATAGCAAAATCCTGAAATTTCTACTTCTCGCCCAATTCCTAAAAAATCTCTATTTCCAATAAAATATATTGATTTCTACATTTCCATTCGTACAATAATTCTGGGTAAAAATTCTATTCTAAAATTTAAAAATAGTGTAATACAATTCCCTTTGTACATCAATCTATACAATATATAATAACCAAATCCTGGAATTTTAACTTCACGCCCAATTCCTAAAAAATCTCTCTTCCCAATAAAATATATTGATTTCTACTTTTCCATTCGTACAATAATTCTGGGTAAAAATTCTATTCGAAAAATTTAAAATAGTGTAATACAATTCCCTTTGTACATCTATACTATATATAATAACAAAATCCTGGAATTTTAACTTCCCGCCAAATTCCAAAAAAAATCTCTATTCCGAATAAAATATATTGATTTCTTTTTTCCCACTCGTACAATAATTCTGGGTAAAAACTCTATTCTAAAATTTTAAAATAATGTAATACAATTCCCTTGGTACATCTATACTATATATAATAACAAAATCCTGGAATTTTAACTTCACACCCAATTCCTAAAAAATCTCTCTTCCCAATAAAATATATTGATTTCTACTTTCCCATTCGTACAATAATTATGGGTAAAAATTCTATTCTAAAATTTAAAAATAGTGTAATACAATTCCCTTTGTACATCTATAGTTTATATAATAAAAAAATCCTGGAATTTTAACTTCCCGCTCAATTCCTAAAAAATCTCTCTTCCCAATAAAACATATTGATTTCTACTTTCCCATTCGTACAATAATTCTAGGTTAAAATTCTATCCTAAAATTTTAAAATAGTG